TCGTGTTGCATCGTGTTGCATTTTGTTGCTTCTTGTTATTTTTTGTTGCACTGTGTTTCTTATTATTCTTTATTGTTGATTAGGATTTTTGTTGTTTATTTAGATTTCTATTTTTTTAAATATTCTATTTATTTTTCTAAATTCTCAAAACAGAAATATCTAGATAGATTTAGATGCAAACACTCAAAATGTTAAATTTTGATTTATGAATATAAAAAACTAGAAACATAAAGAAACAATAAAAAACAAAATTTCAGAAATATCAACAAAAAGAAACACAAAGCAACCATATGCAACAAAAACTAAAAATAAAATGATAATAATAACAATTCAAAATTTATGTACTTTAACAAACATTACATTCAAAACTAGTTTTTTAATTATTATCTCAATTTCATTATATTATATTTTACCAAACAATTTTATTATGTAATTTTATATCTATATGTATATATATTATAAATTATTTAAAAAAATTTAATGTTTTCAAAATTTATATATGTATTTGATTTTTTAATTTTTAATATGATTTCTTATTTCAATTTGTTTTTTCAAAACAATTACTTTTCAACAAAAGTTTCTAATTAGTCTTCATGTTATTAAACCGTTTAAAAACACTTTTATCTTGTTTGAAACAATTTTTATAATTATAAGTTTTTTTAACCATTTTATACTTTGTAGGAAATTTTCAATTTTTTATATTTTAAATAAACGATATTAACTAGTCAATATTTTATACTCTTTAGTTTTGAATTTCTATTTTCTTCTGTATTTTTTTAATTTTCAAATTTTACTCTTAAAATTGAGTTTTTTCAATCTTATTTTTAGAATATAAATTACAAGTTGTCAATTTTATTTATTTTATTCTTTTTTGAAAAAATCTTATTTTTGAATTTGAGTTTTTTGTTGTTTTTTTTTATTAAATTTAATACGGAGTATTAGTTTTTGGAGTTTTAGTATTTTTCTAATTGGTATCATAACTTCTATTATCTTTTTACATTTTTGTATTTGAAATCAAATAATGAATAAGTGCATGCCATTTGTATTACGGAGTTGTTTCTTATGAAAGAAGGTGTCACTGATGTGTCACCGTGTCATGATTGTAACCTTCTGTGCCTGATGCACTTGTGAAGGCATTTCAGTAGTCAGCGGGGGTGTTCCGCAAAAAAAGACCAGCGGTGAAAAGAAACTGTTTCGTAGGTTATTTTTGAAAACAAAAATTAAGAGTGACAAAATTGATATTATTTTCAGTTTTATGTCTATTTCTGATAAATTCTCAATTATTATTGAATGTCCCAGACGGGCCTTGCATTATTATTGAATGTCTCAGATGGGCCTTGCACTCTATTCATTACAGAGTAATTATTTTGGGTGAAATCCATACCAATATTTCGTACTTTTAGTGGTTCTTCAATAATAATCTCTACTGAAAAAGTCAATACAAATAATCCAAACTTGTAAGTGTGTCCACATAGATAGATTAAACCTTCATAGATAGATTATTATCCTTCAAGAAAATAATTATAGTGATGATATAAAAAAACACTAAACTCACATGTATGACAATGGTGAACAAAGTTAATGTTGTATCCTTATATATTAAATATCAAAAAGATTAATCTAATCTATCTATGTAGACGTGTTTGTGAGTATGGATTATTTATATAGACATCTTCGGTAGGGATTATTATTGTAGAATCGCTAAAAATATGGATTATTGGTATGAATTTCGAAAGAAAATGGTGCCATGCTCAAAGTGATGTCCTAGGCAGCTGCCTAGCTTCCTAGGGTCCAAAGCGGGCACTTCTATTTAACTAATATATTTTGCGATCAATCTCTTCCTGGTGTTTTTAAAAGAGGCAATTTAGAAAAAAATATTGATTTAGTCTTGTAACTTATGTACGTTTCTGTTAGTAGTCATGTAAATTTTTGTATTACTAATAAGGTGAATCATCACTCTCTCCCTATGTGTGAGTCGGTGTCAATAATGCTGATTTAGGGAGTGACATTTGAAGTCCAAAAATGTGAATGATACATAATGATGTAATTTTAATATCTATGCCACACTTTCATGTTTTTGAGTGGTGCATTTTTAATGATAAACCCACCTTCTCATTAAATAGATCATTCGCAAGTTGGTTTACAACACAGTCGGGGACAGAGCCGCTATGTAAGGACTTATTTGACCTTTTTATGAAATTTCGAGGACCTATTTGACAATTTTCCCTAGCCTTTATTTGTAATCAATCTTCTCCTATGCATTTCCATGTAATCATGTTGTTAATCTAGAGGGCAGACCTAGGGGGGTCGTGTCGGTGCCCCTTCTCTAGTGAGTTTAAAGTATATACACACGTGTATATTTTTCAGCACCCCTAGAATATATTAAATATACAATGGTTGCAATGAATTGTACTGGCTGCAATGAATTGTGTTAGCAAATATACATTGTTCCGCTTTGTGTTAAAAAAAAAAAGCCGCGCTCAGTCAACCCACATCTAGAAATCTATGATATCAAACGCTAAGTGGAGAGTGCACAAGAAAGCCTTTTTTATTATACAGAGGGTGGTTAAATGTAGTATTAACATAATGTCATTGTCTAAACTATTTTAAACATCAAAATGTAAAAACAAACAATGATCAAAAGAGGCAATACAACACATATGGAGGAAATCATCTGTTAAAGACAAATAGCTCAACTGCCAGTGCATAGATTTCCTTCGGATGAAAATAAAGTTATGTGAGTGAACTGTGATATTCTTTATTGGGTATGGAGATACTTTTAGGCATGCTTAACGCAATAGTTCTTGACTATTACCATCTGGGTTTTTAACAAGAAACCGAGCCTGTTGATTCCATAACTCGTAATGTAGTATACTTCGTATTTGTTTTTTTATTCCTTTAAAGTTGGATTAAATTTTAGGGAGGGACGGAGAGACGAAAAGGAGGGAGGATAATGCATATAAGCATGGGCGGAGCTAGGGGAGGGCCATCCCTGGCCCTGGCCCAGCCCAAATTTTAAAAATGCTTGTATTTTTAGTGAAAACAATTCTATGTAAAAAAAATTCAAAAATATTCTTTGTACCGGCCCAGTGCGGCCCAGTGCCCTAGCTCCGCCCCTGCATATAAGCAACAACTGTTTAACACTTTAACTAAAGCGGGATAGAGAACGAAGTTCTTGACTAATGACCCAATGTTTCTAATAATACAGTCTTTTTCACATCAAGTTCGTAGAGTTACAAATAAGAGAAACATCTTTTCAATCTTAAAAAGACTAGACCATCTTTGATTATATTAAAGTAACAAGAACTAATTCTCTGAAAGTGAGTATTTGTATATGTGTGCTCTTGTAATCATGTTCTAGATGTACACAAAGAATGTAGTGATACATTGGAGGGGTTGAATGAGTAGAGACTTTGTTACATTCAATGATCATGGGTCAGCATGTCCAACAACTTCATCATCTGTATCGCTTTGACCACTAAGGTACTCCTCGCTGATCTCATCATCACTATCTTCTTTCGGAGTGCTGATGTTTTCCTTCTTTGCATGCCGCTCACAGTACTCTGTCCCAAGATTATAGCTAGTGAGATGTATTCATCAAAGCATTAGAAGCAAAATACACTATCTATAATTGGATTCAGTTGGAATTTTGTTGAACACATCTTCCCTCAATCTTTGTATTTTTGTTTGCCAATAGTTCTAATAATTGGGATTAGTAAATATGTCACTAAATATTAGGTCCTCTGGTTACATCCAGGCATAATCATGTCGTCCAGGCGTAGTCCTGGACTCATGCCAGGGGAGATTAAAATCTCAATAAATTCATTTTTAGAAGCTCAACTCAAAATAAGATTTTAGCAAGTAGAACCTTCTGAAAGTTTGAAATTCGAAGGACAATCGTTGACTCTCAAACTCGAAGGCCAATCGAGGACTCCTAAACACAAAGCACCGTTAGTCGCTACTTCTCTGTTGCATTCTTCTGTTGCAAGGTTGAAGACGACGTGCAGTTGTTCCATACCTCCATTGCAAGGTTGAAGACGATCCGTGCTTTTCTCCAGTTTTTTATTTTTATCGATTACATCTATCAAACTTCTTATTCCATTATATTAATATATTTTACATGGAGTTAGGCACTAGCAGTAAGCAGTATACGCACTAAAGATTTACATAGCTTAATTTTAATATGTAGTAATATACATTTATAATTCGTATACAATATTCAGTATGTATAGATACACACTATAGTACTACGTATATATAAGTATGCATATAACTTGTACACAATTTAATTAGTAATGTATCATATACAATACTTCCTCCGCTCTCAAATAGTTGCAACAATTTTCTTTTTTGGCAATTTCAAAATAATTGCAACATTTCCTTTTTAAGTTATAAAAATAGTCACTAAGACTAGAATACCCTTACATCCATCTGACATGCTTTTACTTAGCCGAACCCACTACTCTATCCCAAATGAAGTATCTTCACCCACTTACCTATACTCTCATAGTCTACCTCTCCTCTTTCCATTCTTTTTCTTGATTTTTTATCCTCCTCTGTCACCTTCTCTTTCTCATCCATGGCAGTCAATTTTTGTTCTTTCATTTCTTTCTCCCTACCTTTTTTATATTTTCCACTACTTTTAATTTGTTTCAAACTTATGTACAATTTCACCTAATTCTCTTCTTTCATTTATTTCTTTCAACTATTTTGCTTTCCACTTCCTTTGCTTTCTTCTTACCATTGTAGAAAAACTAAAACACTTGAGATGCTAAAAAATTAGTTTTTTTTAGAGAGGTACCTTCGATGAACACATATTGCAGACATAAATTGATAAATTAGCCATTCACTCATAAGAAAGAAGCAATAGGGTAGAGAAACTAATGAGAGAATTAAAAATAGAATCACAAAAATGAAATCACGGTAATATTTGGCCTAAATATTAAGATGTGTTATTGATAAGGTTTAAATAATAGAGAAGACGATTGAACTCAGCGATGGCTAAAAGAAAACGAAGCTCATGTCAGAATTTTGTCAGATTGAAGGTTACAATGTCAGAATCTATGTGCCCAGCGCAATGTTGCAATTAATTATGAACAGAGAGGAAGTCTTTAATAATTACAAATTAAATATAGTTAAATAGAATGGTATATGTAATAACATACGTAGTATATAATTGTACATAATATATTACACAATGTGCTACTAGTCGCCTATTTGTCACCTAGGCGGGTGCATTGTCGCCTAGGCGATAAGTTGGTTGGCTGGCACCTCGACTCGCCTTACCGCCACGACAAGTATGGTTCAAAAAATGGGATAACAATATAATGATATAAAAGACAAAAGTCACAAAACTAAATGTGAACATTTAAGAAACACCACTAACCTTTCACTTTTTGGTCATATTGCTTCTTATCCTTCAACATAAGTGATGCTGCATCACCATTTAAGGGATCTGATGGATTTGGGTAAAGCAAGAGTTGTGGCAGGAAAACCTCGAAGACATTTAAAAGATCTGGACCAACATAAATACAACTCAAAAGCTCACGAAAAATTAAGGTTTTAACATTGTCCTATAAACACTTTTAGCTCTACCAAAAAGCACCATATGGAGGCATTCATATAAACTTCTTTTGCATGTGTCATGAAAGCCTCTCTAAATATTAAATACTTTGTCTCGTAAACACTTACCAAACATTGGACTCCACGACTGGTTGATGACATCCAAGCAGACAGAACCAGACCTTCAGCGAATAGACAAAATTTGATTACCATTCTAACTCATTTCACATAAGCAGATTTAATGAGAATGATTGATTGATAACAAAGGACATGTCAAAACACCTTGAGGATTACCATGAGAAGCTACAAGCAACAATGTTCTAAAATCTTTACGGTATGTAAACTCACAGTTCATCAACATTTGGGTGGAATATTTTGTTTACAAATCCAATGGAAGGAGACTTGTAAGGATAAGCATCTGGAAGCTCCACACGGACTTTCCAGACTCCACCTTCATAAAGGCCTACAGAAAGGAAAACAAGAGTAAAAAGATCAGGGGGCGGAGCCAGGGCACTGAGCCAAACTGGACCGGTACACATAATATTTTTAAGGAAAAATTACACAGAATTTTTTACCTTAAAAATTAAAGATTTTTTTAATTGGGGTGGCTCAGGGGCCTAGATTGGCCCTCCTAGATCCACCAATGAAAGATGTCATGATGTCATTACAGGAATTGCCATAATGATTAATGAGTCATTTTAAAAACACAAATGAAGAAGTACAAATGGTGAAAAAAATAGTCAAATGTACTACATTAAACATATGATGCCATCATCGTCAACATCTTAGTCTCAAGAACATCAGAGTAGGTAGAAATTTGTCGTAACATTTAGTGTCAAATGATTATTACAAGTGACCAATGTAAGTTCATGCAAAAAGCTCGATAAACATGTTTAACATGGGATGCCCTTCCGGTCACAACCTTATAAAGAAAGAATATATAAACACATGATATATTAACACACTTTTCAAAAGTAATCACACAGATAGCATATATGTTAACGAGCCATTTGTGCATAGCAGAGGACATGAAGACCATTACTTTCTTTTGGACCATGGAATTCAACAAAGAACTTGTTGATTTCATCATTTATTGGCTCCACAGTGTAATCGCTCATCATCCTATCACACATGCACGAAAAACACAATATTTCATAAGCAAAATAAGTCAAAGAAATATAATCATACGATGCATTAAAATAATGTTAGACACTTACAGTTTCATAACATCCATATCCCTTCTCTTACTTGGAGATGACATTTTGAAAATATCGTATTATGCGGAGCTACCAAATAAATCAAAAGATCAAAAGTTATAAAAGTGAATACAATATTGATGTAAAGATGTGACTATGGTAGTACAAGGCTTGACTATTCATAATTCCAAATAGGAATAAGGAGCAACCTTTTTAGACCTAAACGGAAGACAAAGTAGGATAAGGATGTCAAAACCTGCACCACATTAACCAACAGCTATGTCAAAAGAACACTGAAGCTACTTTGTTTCTTTCATCCTAGTTTCTTGAGTTTGTGTGTGAGTGTGTGTGTGTGTGTGGAGGGATGATAGCATACACTGATACACAAACGTCATCTTTTATCTGAAGCAGCTATTGGCCTTTGGATTACAAATATAGTTATGTTCTTTACGAAACAAATATCTTGGATTCCTTGCACTCATTGATTCATTGCAAAAGAGAAATTAGCAAAACTAACTTAACTACCAATGCAGTTTTTATTAATACTTCACTAAATAAGGGCCATTATGGAAAAATAAATTACATTTGCATTAGTATTCTAAAATGAGTTATGACTATGACTATTACTATACTATGCCTTATAATTAGGACCGGAGAAATAGCATAGACGCAATGATGCATAACCACTACTATTATTATTAATGATGGACAATGTAATTAAAAATAGTGTGCGCGCATGGCATATGTATGTCATGTTTATGCCACATGCCACCCAGTTCAATAGCACTAGTTGTAGAGATACAATGACACTGTTCCCCGTATAGTATCATAGATGTTATGACTCATGATCTTGCATTCAGAGCTTCATTTTCTTTTCTCTTGTTACTCAAGGACCTCAAGGTACCATCTAAAACACCTTTCTTCTGCCATTATTGTTGTTGTTGTTCTTTTGCAACAAATGGGACAAGTGAAAGATATGTGCAACATTATTGATAATTGAGATCTTAAGATTAAATTTCTATAGATGTTTCACATTTTTTAAGGGAGGAAGCTAGTCAAGAAGATACAAAAATTATTGTGATATTTGGTACTATATGTTATTCCATAACCCAGATAACTCGAAACACAATTCACTGAATTGTCAAAATTGATTGAATCGGATAGTCAAAATGATCTCACACAAGCAGATTGACTAAACACAAACTCATGATGAGGCCCAAAAAAATAGTGTGTGTGCGCGCGTGTGTTCAATAAAAGATACGAAGTATGTTGAAATACAAAGTCTTGGTCCCGTAGTGTTAATTTTATGAACTTTGTCCACCCCACCCCCGATATCGATGTTCTACTCGAGGATGCCTTAGGTCCCGTTTGGGATTACATTCACTGTGGGAAAACCTCATTTAGCCCTATTACAATCTAAAACAAACTACGATTTTTTAACAAAGTTGATTTGCAATGTGGAAAACAGTAGAACAATTGCCAGCCAAGAATTATAACTTTTACATAACATTTCTCGACCTCCAAATACATATAGCTATACATTTTCACAGAGACTTACAATGCTACTTCTAAAATTGTTTATACAACAAGGAAACAAGAGGTCATTTGCAATGGAAACCTCATTCCAAAAGTAGGCGGTAGTCTCACAATCAGGCTCGTGCACAACAAGTACATTACATTCCCAAGAAAAACAAAAACCCAACCACAAAGATGTTTCATTTTTTGGTAGAATTTTAGTTTCTAGAGCATAAATTGAGAAATATAAACGCACAGTAAAAGCGCAAGAGAAGGGTAATAACAGACTGAGAGCGTCCGAACATGACGATATGATCTTAGTGTCCTAGTCGATAGCCACACTATTTAAAGGAGAAGAAGGATAGAGGAACGAACCTGGAACACGAACAGTATGAGGGGATCGACGAAGATTGAGAGTTTATGCTTGAAGGTTTGAAAAATAAGAGAAAGAAAGAATAATAGCGTAATGGAAAAAAGGGAGGTTTGAAGAGATGATGGGGAGGAGTTGAGTGATGACATTGATTGTGTGGTGTGAGGGGTGGAATGTTTTGAGCCAATGGTTGGTTTTATAATCTCCTATAGTCTCTCCCCTCTTGAGTTTTTAAGGACCAAAATCTTGCAAAAATTTAGTATTTTTATGGCATGTAAGATTTGAACTTGGTTCACATCATTTCAGTATCCTCAAATACTCAATAAGCTCAATTTATTACATTGCGATCGTAGTTGTCATTTGTAGTGCGGAAAAATATCGATAATTCGATATATCTCATTTAGCATATTGAAAGAGAACGAATTTATCGAAATGTTTGGTATACCGACACTTTCGGTACATTATGGTATCATACCGAATAACTTCATATGATATTAGTGTATATTTTGAAAATAAATGGTATACCAGTATATCATCATGCCGAAAATTCAAGCCAATAATAATTTCTCTAAAATTATAAAAATGACTAAAAACACAACATTAATTCAAGGATATATAATTGACTTTATATCCATGTTTCTTGAATTATTTATACTTCTTGTTGGATATCGGTGTCATGGTATTTATATCTATGTGGCTGAAATTATATTAAGAGAATGTGTTATTACCTTAAAATTTTAAACATGTTTATAATATTTTTTGTTCAAAATGAAATAGAACATCAATAGGTTACCATTAGTATTTTATAATGAATTTCATTAACGATTTTAGTATATCACTACTAACATTGATTTTCTATATTTCATTTGGCATACAATAATTTGTTATATTAAATCGTGATAATTTACTGATATCGCAATTTTACCGCACCGAAACTTCGGCATACCACAACTAGCTATACCGAAATTTCGCCAAGGTAACGGTAAGTAGTTTTGCATACCAAAAATTTATGGTATAGTAAAGTTATGAGATAAAATATCTGGTATATTGTACTCACCCACCCCTAATTATTATCATTAAAACATGGAAACTAGCATTTCTACACAAGTTGTACACAATTTGTATACAATATATAAGCTTTAATATTTACCATTCTTTTTTTTTTGCTACTACTATTTTCAGTTTATATAAAGCGGTAGCATTTGGCAGCCAAACAGTCTGAACAGTATAATAAAACACTGACTATCAATGTTTTTTTAGGAATGCAAGTCCGATTTACTCAAATTAGATTTGTCATTCTTATTCTCCCATTTTTTCTTCTCTCCTCCCTCTCTCTCCCTTCTCTCATCCCTCTGTACCTAGCCCATTCGGATATCCAACAAAGATTGGATCATTTTCTTCTATTCTTCATCCTCATCTTCCCTTCTTTGTCATCTTTTGTGTATTTTTAGAAGGCTGAAAAGCCCTCTAAAATTCGTGCTAGGCACTCTCTCTAAGATCCCCCTTTGAAAACGGGGGTTTCCAGGCTGTTTAAATAAAAAAAATCGGGTGAAATTTGAGCTGAATTGGGATTTCCGGAGGCAGGCACGGTGCCAGGCACGATCGTGCCTTCGATCGTGCCTCCGGAGCAAAAACGCGCATTTTGGGCAGACACGATCGTGCCTCCCTCCAGGCACGATCGTGCCTGGATGGCAGTAACTCTGCGGTGCTTTTCTCTTCACGCACGATCGTGCCTGACTTTGAGGGCACGATCGTGCCTACTTAACTTCCGAATTTGGCAATGCTTCCTTCATTAAAGTTGTATATAATGAAGTCCTCTATTCACCCCAAATTGTCGAATGTGATTTGAATCATCCAATCTAGAGATATTATCAAAACGGTGGAAGGTATCATTCTGAAATCGCAGCAGAGATCATCTGACTTCATCGTCTGTTTTCACCTTCTTCCTCTCAGATTCTCGCAAAGGTGTCTTCATATGATTTGTATCCCTTGAAGTTAGATTTCATATAGAACTTGAATCGTGTACATTGGATGTTTCTACAAAGGCATATGCTTGAACGATTGACAGAAGGTCATCCAGATCGCTGATTTCAAGCTCCATTCATCTTCTTTTGATCTCGTAGCCAATCCTAGAGTTCTTTTGTCATCAAATCTTCATCGTAAACCTCCCGCTGACCTCCAAAGATCTCAAATCAATCTCGAATGCTTCTAGAATCGTCCCGATTTCTCCTCAAGCGCCGGTGCCGAACTCTAAATTCCTGGTTTTGACTCCAAATGACACAAAACTCGAACCAACGCCTTGTAAACATAACTTGAGCTATAATTGAGACTTGCAACACCTTAAAGCAAGGAAAACCATCAAAAGACGATCCCAACACGCATCAAATGCGTGTCTAAATACGGACTTATGAAGTCTCGATTAAAGAAACCAATGATACGACGTATATTTTCTCTTTCTATCATGAAACTGATATGAAGTGTGTTATTGGATATGGCTTGTGGCTTTATGATGAGCACCTTGTAGTATTGCATGAATTAAAAGCTGATGATTTGCCTTTGAAAGTTCCTTTATATAATTTGGGATTCTGAATTCAAGTGTATAATATGTTGGTGGTTACTTGACCTTAAAGGTGGCAAATATATTGGAAAAAATCTAGGAAGGTTTGTTAGGCTAGATGAAAATCAGTTTGAGGGGCGTTGGAAAAATGAAGGTCCAAAAAGTGAATAAAGACTACTTATGGGTAGATTTCAGGAATGAAAATGTACTCAATTTTTTCTTTGCTTGTGAAATTATTGACCATGTAGATATGTTATGTTTTCATGTTCTCGAACAGCCGTGGACGAGAGCAAATTGCGGGCACATTAGTGATGGTAGAGCTAATAATTAGTGGCTGATTTTAGAGAAAGGGGATAAACAATGTTGCTCATATGGAAGCCACCACGATGGCGAGAGCTTCTGTGAATAGGGGTGTTGGTTCTAATATTATTACAGGTGCGGCTTGAAACATTGGGAATATTATTACACTTGCACATCAAGTATTTAAGTATCCCGGGAGTCTGTCATCCAGAGCTCGTCCCAACTTCGTTTTTCCTTATCAGTATTCTAATTGGTCTAAATGGGCAAAGTATATATATAGTAATACTTCGTATAACCCATATTTTGTCAAGAGTCGGTGTAGTTTATGAAATTGGACTCCTTTCTTGTAACTTTTTAAGAATACATACCCAACTACCCAAGCACTTACGCACAGTAGTTGGTAAACCAATGCTTTCAGCTTGTGTGGTCCAAGTTTTTTCATGTATGTAACTGGCTCTCTTTTTTAAAACCATGATGGAGATTGAAGGATGCAAAGTAGATTAACCAGATCGTGTACAAAACTACTTCCCCCAAACGTGTTTTGTTCCCCGATAAGAGTGCTAAGAATATATAGAGTTGACTCGTCAATGAAGCTGATGATAATAAATGGAATCATTCTTGGTGGACACCATTTGATCATTTTGATGTATAGAGAAGACTCGGTACTTGAAAATTTCAATTGACACACAAAAGGGATTAGTTGATATTAGGAAAGCTAGAAGCAGTTTAAGTATTGATGCGCAGAAGACACAAACCAAAACATCTATCTCAGTATTGACACACCAAAATAAGAGCACTGATCTGTATCACTGTATGATCATATGAAAATCTTAAAAAGTGAACAAAAAAAGAAACAATAGAAGCTGAGACTCTGCGAGACACAGAACTTCTTTCTATTACTAAAAAGACATGTTTGACTTGGGAAAATCACTCATCACTCATAGTAGTAAATGTGTAGTTCAATCATTAATTTACCCCTTAAACTTTTTGTTAAAACTGAACACATTCTTAAACTACAGGAAAAAAAAGGACTGTACAAAAAAAAGCTTTTGTTATAACAAGCCAATTACAAACTGGAATACAAAAGCAACCTAAGTACCAATTAAGTAACCCAAAAAGAACCATATAAATATGGAAATGTATCTTATCAAGTATGATACTAACAACACATGCCTACTCAGCTGGCAGCAATGCCAAAGGGCAAGCATACTCATTCTGGAAGCATGATCTCATGCCAAGCCTATTACAGATCTTCACCATCCTTAAAGCTCAAATTCAATGTTTGCAACTTGAAGCCTGAACCTTGTATAGTCTCAACTAAACTTGAAGCCACCCCTGTAGCTTGTATTACTGTTTGCTTTGTCAACTGCAAAAAGAATTTTTTAAAATGTTAACCATGGAAGAGCAAGCATTCAATTGATGGAGGCGGCCTACATAGGCTAACAGATATAGTGGATGTAACCCTGTTGTAGAAACTACAAAGTAGCAAAAGTCACCTCCACACTTGCCATGCTCTCGGCAACTTGAACTTTGAGATCTGATATACCTTCTATTTCCTGCAGATATTTGAACTTTTGAAGACATAAAAGATAATAATGTGAGGTCCCTTAACTGTTACGTTATTGACAATTGCTTTTATTGTACTATGTTATTATTTTTTTAAAATCAGAATTGTGGACAGTCTTTTAAGATACACCAGTAGGTAGTTATGTACAAGGAGGGTAAAGGTGAAGTGCGCACTTTTTAGGGGACGCAGTCCCAATTCCCAAAAAATAGTTTAACTTAATCAGTTGGACAGTGAAAAAGATAGCAATGGTGTTGATTGTGCTCATGCCCTCTGACGATATATCAAAGCCAAAACCACAAATGGTAAAGGCGGATGAAGCTTCGGTTAATGGCGGTTCGGCCCATACTGCGGTTGAGACGGCATCTGGATATGGTTCCGATGGTTATGTGAATGCTAGCGAAACCGAACTGAATGAGCCGATGAAACAGAAAGGAAGAGGAGAAAAATTGCAGTGACAGTTATATACAGGAAGACAAAGAAAAAAAGGAAATATGAGCTCTGCAACATCAACGCAGTCTTCTTCGTGTGAAAGTAGAGAGGCTCCTATACAGGAAATGGAATCCGACATGAACAATTTATCGAGGATGCACTGACTCTGGCCAATGATCTGAAGCTTGAAGAAAATTCATTGTTTAAGGATGGGCTTCACGAAGAGGCATTATCCAAGTATGAGCTAGCTTTGCAAGCTGTAAAAGATGTCCAATCATCTACTGAGATTCAATAAGTCAGCCTTTCAAATCGTGCAACTTGTTTCTCTAAAATGGGAAAACGTGAGGAAACAATAAAGGAATGCACTTAAGCACTAGAGCTAAACCCAATATATATGAAAGCGCTGTGTAGAAGAGCAGATGCACATGAAAAACTTGAACATTATGACGAGGCTATCAATGAAATGACAAAAATCTTGGAGTTGGAACCTTCGGATGACCAGGCTAGAAGAGCGATTGTTCGTTTCAAACCTTTGGCAGATGATAAGCGTTAAAAGATGAAGGAAGAAATGATTGGAAAGCTGAAAGAAATGGGAAATTCTATTTTAGGCCGGTTTGGGATGAGTGTTGACAACTTCAAAGTTGTGAAAGATCCAAATACAGGATCCTATTCGATTTCATTTCAGAAGTAACAGTAGCATACTCAGTTGAAATTCCAGGATGTCTTGTTTCTGTGTGTGTGTGTGTTCTGTATATGCTCTGTGAGATGTGGCTATTTGGGTGAGTCTACTTAGATTGGAATGAGTTTTGGGATGTTGGAAAATCTGAAGGCTCAGTAATTGGTTCTGAATTCCTATTTGTTGAAACAATAAAAAAAGGTGAAGTGCGCACACATTGTTTTCCCATTTAGGGATTCTTAAGATCAAACAAAGACTCAGCTAACAGCTACTAGCTATGTTAGTTCACCAAGAATCTATTCCAATTCTGAACATTTATGTGCACACATTTTCATTACAACAACAACAACAACATTATCAGTGTGACAAAGGCCAACGGTGGAGGGGTAGAATGTATGCAGCCCTATCAAAGTACCGGGTATTAAAGCAAAAAATGACTTTTTTCCCAAACACATTTTCATTCCATTAATAAATTAAGGAACAAGAGAGACTAAAGAAAGCATGTTAGAGTTTTACAATACTTCCATCAATGAATATGAGCCCATGTTTTGCACTAAACTGCGGTACCTTTTCACCTACAGACATAGAATTCGGTTTAATCCGTACCTCTAAAGCCTTGGTCACTTGAGGAATTAATGCGTCATTCATAGTTCCTTCGGCCTGCAAGTCGGAGAATTATCATAAGCATACACTTGAAGCACTCTCATACAAAGCGAGCAAATGATTCAGAGTAAATACGCGGAAGAACATGGTGAGGGCGTCGGAAGGGGACACTGGAACCGAAACGGTCTCGTCAGCTATGTCCTGCGGCGAAGAAGACGCATCTTCACCTTCAGCCGCAGCCTCTGGAACTGAGGTTTCCTCCTTGAATGACCTTATGATCTTTTTCCTCGAACACCTATACAACACCGACGGAGCAGGAGAGTAAGAAGTGGCAATGGCGCATCGACTCTGCAATCGGAGACGGTGGAGTGGAAGCGGCCGGCTCGAATCAATTGGATGTGAGAGAAGGAAACGGGAGTTGGCTCCGGAAAAGACAAACGAAGAGACGGTGGTTGCCATCTCTGCTCTCTTCAAAACTATATCAACATTCTTGGGAGGTTCGAATTGCTCTGCAGTTTATCTAAAAGGAGCTATTTGCATTGGGGCCTTGTACTCTCCACTAATCAGTATCCATACTCTCCACCAATATTTTTTTGTTTCAATATTTTGAAGGGGGTTTTGGAACGGGAATCATAGAATCGGTTGAAATAGAATCGTTATAATCAGCTTCCATTCCTATAAATGCGATATTATTACTAATGGTTCGGTTCCTATAAAAAATATGTGCACGAAACCATCAAGGAACCATTATTAAAAAATAAAAACAAAAAATAGTAATTGTATGTATTAGTTATAGTAATACTAAAAAAAAAGTGATAGTAATACCAATAATAATAATAACAATAATAGTCCAATCAATAATATATATTTAGCCAACAATTCTAATTTAACCAACGAAAACAAAAGTAATCAATGATGTTTTGTTGCATCACGTAAATTCTATAAAAATAAAATAACTCAAATAACTTGTAGTTAATTGCATATATTTTACTTCACTATCTTCATGATATTTGTAACTATTAGATTTATTGTAAATTATACTACTAGCAAATAGACTATGAGGATGCTTTTATATCCATACATGCAAACTCAATGTGTTTTGGTTTTGAAAGACTTGAAGTGGGCATCCTACCTTCATTCTTTCCACATAACAACAATTTTTAAGTTTTGCTTATTAAATAAAATTGAAATCTTCTTATATTGTATTATGTGTTCACTTAGTTAAGTTTGAATTTTGATATTTGGAGTGATTAGAACTTTAAATAAATTTTTAATATTTGTGTTTTGATTTTTTTACGTTTCTATGTCGTAGAAAGCAAATTGTGTGCTAATTCTTTATATGAGAACAAAATTATTCGATTCCATAATTGTTTTTGATTTCTTACAAATGAACCGAACCAGTTTCATTAGCTAAAACTTTTATAACGATTCCGCCAATTTTGAGTAAGAACCGAACCAGTCACAGACCTAATATTATTGTGATATATAGAACATATATTATACTACTTCTGTCCCTTAAAACTTTGTCATGTTTGACCGGCACGGGAAATAATAAAGTAAAAACTGTGTGGTTGAGGTTTGTGCAGAGGATGGAGAATTAACTGGAAACACAAATTCTTTATTTAAAAGGGAAAGTGGCAAAGTTAGTGGGATATCCAAAAAAGGAAAGTTGACAAAGTTTTAAGGAGCGGATGGAATATGTACTATTACCTCAATTCCATTATAATTGTCTCAATTTTCCTTTTCCGTGCGTCTTACTAATTTTGTCACATGTCATATTTGATATATTTGTGTGGCCCCAATTAAATCTTACTTTATAAACCACATAAAGTGATTTGCTATGGGGTTCAAAAAATTTATTGCTTATTCATGTTTTTTTAAGTTTCATTTTTATTTGGATTTTTACTCTTTTTTGGTTGTGGTATGTTTTTCCGGCAAAAAAACTCTAGAACCTAAGACAGGTGATGAGGAGTTTGGTTTGTCTGCCATTGGCATCAGTTAAGCCCAAAGCAGGATCAACGAATCATATTGCTTCTACGGAGGTGATTGGTTCTAAGTATGATTCTAGGGTGGACTGCACACAGAAGATTTGTTGTCATTTTGTAACCTGCTTACGTTCTGTTATCATAATTTAAGCCACTTTCGTTTAAAAAACCACATAATTCCATTTTTTTTAAATCACGCCACTCATTCGTCCCAATATTAGAGGTGGAGGTAGTAATAGACTACTGTTGAACTTGGGCAACGTATTTCTCAAATGTTGTTTTATATTTATAAGTATAAATGATTTTTAACATGTATGAACTTCGATAATAAAGGGTGACAGACATAATTGGCTAAATCTCTCTTGATATCCAAATTATGAACATGATCTCATCGTCATTCAAACAATGTTCCAAATTGCATATATTACAATTAATCACACATTTTATACTCTAAATAAAATGACAAATTCCCACTGAGAAAATATGTGTCTTAGGATTAAGTAAACTTGCATTCATATTTGTCCAGAAATCTAAATGTTAAAATCACAAAAGATTTTTGTTTTATCCAACCACTAAATTTGTTATTAGAGAGTAACATATGTATACTCATCACAATACACGATATTTTGATATATTTTTTGAACTAGATGCATATGGAGATAATATGCTCACCTACTTATTAAGGCGATTTCACACAATAAACTCAACGTATAGTCGTATATGACAATTTATTAGTTTGATCGTTTTTTCATTTTTTTCCTACTTTTTTGTGCCTACTTCATTTGAAATCTACACATTTGATCATTACTAAATTTAAATACTTCAATTTTTTAATAAGTGCAAAGTCATCAATTACATCTTAACTTGCATCGAGTATGTGATTGCAGAAACATCAACATCTATATATTTATTTCAATATTTAATTCACAATGGTGAGAGTAACTTTCGTGCCTGCTTAGTATTCGAGGCCTTTTTACTTATGAAATTATCTCATGAAATTATGAAATTAAAATAACATGAGTATATATTTTTAGATATATTTTCTATTAAAAGACTGATGACCCATTTAACCAAACAATATACATGATTGTCCTAATTATTTGTTGGGATAGATGCGACTAAGAATTACCAGTTGAATAATCCAAGACGGAAAGAATTATATGCATATTTGTTTCTGATTCACCTCATAAGTATCTCTATTGGGACTGAAATAGAAATAAAAATTCATTTCAAAATTTTCAATGTTTATTCAAGTCTTGTGAGTTGATTTTCTCATATTAACGTTAGTATTAGTGAAAAATAAGATTTGTAGAGGAGAAGATTTTTTTTTATATTTTTTTAGGCTAACTAACACTTGATATATAGTGAAACAACTTTTAGCACTATTAACACCATCAGGAATCAGACCATTACAACAAACTCAAAAAGATCACCCCTGACAAAAACTATCTTTAACCAGTTATCACAATCAACCCTACAGCTAGACTTTGAGACGATCACCCCTAGAGAGCAATATGAATCGCTAACCACCAAGCGGGTGTGACACAGTAATCACTAGTCGTATAGATCTTTCTAATAACATAATATCTAGCAGAATTGACAATCATTATTGTAGACTTAACTAAAGTTCTCAACAAAAAACAAAGCATCATAAACAAACATAACACGAAAATAAGACCATAAAAAAAAAAAATAACTAACAAATACTCCAAACTCCTTCCTGAATGATTTCTTGGAGTATCATCTTGCAAACCCTGACATCTCGATCATCCAAGGCGGCAGTTCAGGAGGGGGACGGACCGCTGTATTCTCCCTTGCTCAGTCCTTCATCGCTCCATATATGTCTGCTCATCACCCAGGCCGAGAGTCAAAACCAAATCTGTCAACCCTGAGTCGTGGTTAGATTTCCAATACCCCTGCAATTCCGATTCAGCTCGTTCATGTCATTGTGAGAAGGAACAAAACGCACTTCCGCCAGATCAATTTAAACCAAAAACTGGTAGAAAACTTCTGACGAACCAAGCTAAAAATAGCCGCCGAAACAAACACTAGTGATGGAGTATATTCCCATATACCCCAGGGGTATCATAATCGCCGGTAGAAAGCATTGAAGGTCCGTTAAAGGCGCAAAAATACTAAGTCCACAATCCGAGACTGACCCCGACCCCGACCGCCGAGGCCGGGAAAACACCAAGCTTAGGAACCAACCAGACTCAGTGGATAACGAAGTCAACCGACCCCGACCTCGAGGTCCGGAGGACATCAGGCTCAGGTAGGGCAGAGCACGGGTCGGGTTCGGGCGGGTCGGGTTCAAAAATGGTAAACCCGTTCGGGTATCGGATTGATAATTTCAAACCCTACCCGATCAAAAAAATTATCGGGTTTTTTGGGTTGAAGAAGTTCGGGTTTCGGTCGGGTTGGTTCGGTTTTCGGGTCCATTCGGATTTTAATTTATTATTGTTGAAATTGTGATAAATAAAATGCTAATTGGTAAAAATATCATTCAAAGTTATACTAGTATAACATTCAAAGTAATAGTTGTATAAATACGGTAATCGACATATTTGAACATGTAAAATAATAATATATGGTGATTGGCATATTTGATATTGTGATAAATAAAATGATAATTGGTCAAAATATCATTCAAAATCATAACAATACAACATTCAAAGTTATAGTTTCACAAATACGGCAATTTGAATATTTGAATATGCATAATATGGTAATTGGCATACAATAATCAGGATATTTGAACATGCATATATACTCCCCTAGTTCGGGTTTTCGGGCGGATCGGGTAGCATAATTGGTAACCCTACCCGCTACCCGCTTAACTCTCAGGTTGCAAAAATCGGATCGGGTTTGGGTCACTCGGGTCGGGTTATCCGACCCAAAAAATAAAATCGGATATATCCGCTCGGGTCAATCGGGTAGGGTCGAGTTTGCTCTCCCCTAGGCTCAGGAATCAACCAAACTCGACAAGTTATGAGCCCAACCTCGATGCACCCGAGGTCGGTACCAGGTCTGACTCCGGAAATCAAACATTTGGTCAACGGTAGTCAAGCACCAGGCAATCAACTACCTCCAAGGCAAGAACAAAGGACAATAAGACGGGTCCTCTCAACACGAGCCCGAGTTCTCGGATATTGGCCTCACTGATCCCCGAGGTCAGGATAAAGCATCATGTACTTAGATAGAATCCGCAAGGATTTATCTCGCAAGGAAACACCGCCACATCACTTTCTGTACCAAAGGAATACTCCGGATTATCCACGTGCGGCTACACGAGGCTTCTGGCAGAAATACTGTTAGAAGAATAATCAATCAGCCAGCTATCAAGGGTTCTCTCTCCAATCAGCTTTACACGTGGCTGCTTCTCATCGAATTAGGCTGTTAGTTTATTAGAATAACTTTACACGTGTCCTCCCATTAGACTAGCATCTTTGGCTTGGCCACCAAGTATTTCCCTTTTCTCCTTAGTATAAATATCACCTTCCAACTTGTGGAAAGGGATGCTTAATCTATTGCACTCTTGAGACTTATACGCTGAGATTTTACCAATTTACGATCTGTACTTTCCGATCAGTTCACTCTCCCTTCTATTCTCATTTTCGGTGGATTCCGGCCACCCCTGGTCTGACGATCCATCAACTAGGATATACATAGACAACAACCGCCGAATATATCCCTATTGGAGAACGGAATAAGACATTTGCTAATGACGGTGATGCCCTACCATGGCCGGCGCTAATGCACTAGGGTTTTCGCTAGAGAGAGAAGCTCTCACGGTGAACAAAGCTATCGCACAAATGAGTGTCATGTAGTTAGAAATTATTTATGAAATTAAAAAATTAACAAAAGGAAATGTTTATCTTATTTGAGGTTTTTCTTAAAATATTACTAATACAAAAGGCATGGACAATAATGTGACTTGGTAACTTATAGTTACTATAATCGTGTTCAAAGTTTACATCATGGTCACTAAATCATAGTAATTTTAAACATAATTATAGTAACTAAAAGTTACCAAGTCACATTTTTAACCATAACTCTTAAAAAGGTAATATTGGTGGAATTTTATCTTATTTATTTATTTATTTATTTATTTCTAGATTGCATTAAGTTTATTGAAAATTGGGAATAATCTTTAATAATTCAGGATTTGATATTTGATAGCGGATTTTTTTTCAAATAATCTTATCATGATCTCCAAACTTGTCTTTCACATTGATCTCCAAATAAATTCATGATTCATGAATGAGAATGTCGTTAATAACTTCGATTTGTGAGCTTGTTTCCTGCCAAAGTTCCCTACCAAACATGCCTCACGCAGTTGTACAAATTATTTGCATACGTCAAAATTTTTTTATCAATCAAAGTTAATGTTAAATCATCTCTATTGATAATTAATTCAATTTTTTTAAATTAAATATTACATATTTGAAAACTACATTAAAATCTCTTCAAAGTTGCAAACTCCAAATTAGAATACAATTAAAAATTAACATTATAATTAAGAGAATAAAGTGAAACTGTTTGACCAAAAAATCAATTTTGCAAATCAATTTGGTATAGAGATAGTATAAATTAAAGAAATCCATAATCATCATCCCTGATTTTCCTGATCATATTTGGAAAGATATTTATGATTAAGGGGGTGTTTGGATCTGATTCTTAAAATTGCTTGAAGATATTTATGATTATTAAGGGGGCATTTGGAAATATATTTATGATTATTGAAGCTGGAGTGTTTGAGTGAAAGTGCAGAAGTGATTCTGATGCTCTTTTTCACTCCTAGAATCAGTTTTTTTAGAAGTTGGGGTTGACCAGCTTTTAAAAACTGATTTTGATTCTACTTCTGCTTTAAAAAAGAAGTAGAAGTAGGAGGAGGAGGAGGAGGAGGAGGGGGGAGGAGGGGGGGGAGGGGGGGGGGAGGGGGGGAGGGGGGGGAGGGGGGAGGGGGAGGGGGAGGGGGAGGGGGAGGGGGAGGAGGAGGAGGAGGAGGAGGAGGAGAAGAAGAAGACTCCTTTTGACCTGATTCTGAGAGGAGGAGAAGGGGATGCATTTCTTTTCCACCTCAATACCAAATCGTATCAACACCTTGAATATGAAAGACATTCGGCAATTAGCGGGAACGAATGTTTTGCACCATTACATCCTTATTTTGAACCAGCATTTATTTTCGCATATGCTCTTTAGTTAGGTTGATATAATTATTGATAAATTAGACATTAGATTGATTCTTTGATGATATCATCGATCAGCAGCCCGCTTATTTTTCAACTTATCAGTTTTATCAATCAACTTTTACACCAACGTAATTTTTCAATTCAAGCGTTGCGTTGTGTAATAATCAAATAATTAAGGTCCAATTTAATTTTATGGTGAATTTTATGGCGAAGTGGCTGAAGTTGTAGTAGATGACACTCTTGGCTATTTTATTTTATAAACAATATATTTTTTAAACATAATTTTTTAATAATTCAATTGAACCGGTCAATCCAACCACTTCAGCGAGACATTCATAACTTTCAGCAGAATCAACCAATACAGCTAATTTGTGTATTACCAAACAGTTATAGCGGTTGCTGTGAAGTATATTGTGTCTAATGCAGCAAGACTGCAAGAATAAGGCGAACATAACAACTTCTTAATTGAAAGCACAACTTAATCATTTAGTCAAAAACTAACTTGATCATTAAGCTGAAATATGGCCCTCCTTCACATTAAGATGTCAATTAAGATGCCTTCTCTGTTAATTTTTTAAAATCAAACATGAAATAGATTTATGTTAATAAATGAAATTTACAACTCATGAATAAAACACTACTTAATCCAGACAGACGTTTTAATAAAATAACAGCCCCTAAGTGATCTTAAACTGTCAGAGATATCATATGCCAAGGCAATTATACATATGTTCTGCTTCCAATCCAAAAATAAAATAAAATAACATTTGAACACAAATTAGTATGAACTAATGATGTAGCAAGTACAAATGCAAAAACGAAGCCTTCTTTGTTGTATGTATTCAAAATCATCCAAAGAGCCAAGTGAGCTTTAATTAAGTAGTCTTGACAGAGAGCCTTCAGGATGAATTACCCGTCAAACTTATCAAATTGCCCTGCTTGTCTTTTTCTATCCTCTTTACAATGGAATTACCCCAGCCCATTACAGTGGCTTCCCCATTGATGGAAATCAAATCTGCGTCAGCCAAATGAGGCATAGCCTCATTTTTCAGATAAATTTTTACACATAAAATACAAGCATTTTTCAAATTTAGGGTGAGCCGGAGCCATATAAGTGTCTCAGCAGCTTCATTTTTTTGCTTTGTATGATACAATGATACAGTAATGTCATTGCTGCCAGCAGTAATGCAGTATGTCTGGGACATACAAGATAAATGACACTCGGTTAAAAAGGAGTTCATTCAAACCCCTCTAGTTCCAAATATTTACTTCACTCTAGTCGTAAATTTCAAAATCGACGAGATTCGACACCTAACTTTGAAAATATGCCACTTGAGTCCAGAGGAAGGGATCACATTTGGTACTATGTTTGATATTCCGAGGACTAAAATAACAAATTTTCAACAACAAAAAAAGTGAGCATATTTTGTAGGTTTTAAATTGAATGACAAAAAAAAGGGAAAACTGTCAAATAAGTCTCCGTACTATAATGAAAACGTCAATTGAGTCCTTGCAATATTAATTTAACCAATCATATCTCCGTACTTTTAAAAATGAGTCAATATTCCTTTTTAGCCGGTGGCTAACCAGTTCTTCTGTTTGGGGCTGACCGCTGATGTGGCTGCTTACTTGGATTTAATTAATTACCTATTTGAGAGATGTTTAATGACATGTCACAGACCACATTTTAAAAGTCGGGCTTTCTTCTATTCCCCCTACCTGCGAACCTGAGAACCTGCGAACGACAATGGAGAAGATGTTGAACCTGCAAACGCGAACTACCACCGCCAGTGAAAGAGAGTCGCACATAGTCTAGGAAGGAGGAAGACGAGAAACTGCCCAACACTCGTGGACCAGGTAATTTCTCAAAAATTGTGGGGTTTTTGTTGTGTCTAGTTAACCCTAAAATTGTTTACTTTCAAAATGTGTCGCTAGTTAACACATCTGAAAAAACAATTAACACGGTTGAGTCTGTACAACTAATTATTCATCATGGGGAGGGGGGGGGGGGATTTTGCTTGTACTCCTAAGAATATACATGTGGGTGGTCAAACCGAGAGTGTGGAAATCGATCCAGATTACATATGTTATCCACATTTGATGAAGTTTCTAAAATCTGGAAGTTATGGCAACATTAAAGGGCTGTATTTTAAAAAACCAAGTGAACCTATGGACAATTTACGTGAGCTCTTCAATGATGAATCAACATTAGTGACCAACAAACTAATATCAACATCCTTCCACACAAAATAACCACATCCTTCCACCTATCATAAAAAATCAGTGCCCAATAGTCATTCCATAATACAACAGAAACTAATATACCATTTAAACAATTTTGTGTCTATGATTTCTTCTATTAATCCGCCACCCATCATTTAGTTTCATCTGCACTTGTAATTCAATTTGTTTTATGGGTGGCTTAACATTTTGATCAGAAAGAGAATCTAATATCAATCTTTAATCTTCCACCTGTATAATGAGTCCTACACATAATAGATGCATTTTTCCAGAAATTTCTCTAGAATTGGCTCTTGTTGGCCATACTCACATTTGGCAAATTGTTTTCCTGATGTTAATTCCAGTTAGTTGTCACTAACCTAAGTAGCATATTCTGGCAGAATATGTAAATTGTAGTTGGTTGTACATTACACTTTAAAACACACCAAATTCTTATTGCGTTATTACACTTTATACACTTAATAATTACTCCCTCCGGTTTTTAATAAACTTCACACTTTCCTTTTTGGGACGGTCTAAAATAAACTACACACTTCTTTATTTCCTTTTTTGGCAAAGAAATCTAATCAAAACAGAGCCAAACAGTGCCAAACAGTGTCTCAACAGTGCCAAACAGTGCCAAACAGTGTCAAACAGTGCCTCAACAGTGTACTCTACAGTAAAGTCAAATTTCTTTCCTTATTTTGTGTGAAGTCAAAGTGTGAAGATTAAATAAAACTGAAGGGAGTACGTTAAAGCAAACTAAATTAACTAAATTAATTTATGACAAAATAATTAAACAAAATACAACATTTACCTTTCAATTTGGACACCCATAAAACATTTTCCCACTCTCTCTTCTAGTACACAACGGTGCTTTCTTCCCACAATGACAATACATGATCGGCTCATAATCGAATGTAAAATTCGGAATTTTTCTGCCGGTAGATGTAGAAGATCCAGACATTTCTACTACTTCCTTTCAAGAGAGAACAATTACACACAATTTCAATTACCTCAGCACCGCTGCCTCTTCGATTGATCTGTTCAACTCAACCTTCATCGCTAAGTCTGCAAATTTCGTAGATAGAGATAAGAAAATTAAAGGTGGGAATGAGGGACTGAGGGAGAAGGCCTTATGCGACAACACGTTGGGATATAGAAGGAAGCCCTACTTTTAACATGTGGTCTGTGACATGTCATAAAAAATCTCTCAAATAGGTAATTAATTATATCCACGTATGCAGCCACATCAACCCCAAACAGAAGAACTGGTTAGTCACCATCTAAAAAGGAATATTGACTCATTTTTAAAAGTACGGGGATCTGATTGGTTAAATTATTAGTACAATGACTCAATTGACGTTTTCATTATAGTACAAGGACCTATTTGACAGTTTTCCCTAAAAATAAAAAAACTAAGCCGTTCATAAAATGAAATTAGAAATAATATCGAAAACATAAATAATAATAATATCAAAGCACTTGCCTTCCTTACAGTTGGGAGCTATTGATAAGAGATTTATCAACAGAGTGTCCGAGATGTTGTTGAGAAAAATTTCCATCCATCTCCACCTCCCTATAAAGATTATCTAAAAGAAAATATATCTGAGCAGATTGTTGGTGAGATTTATCTGCAGCAACAAATATGTGAGTAGTGTTGTTAACTTCAATCCAGCTATAACCTGGTACTTTTTGCACTCCTCTTTCCCTCATCAAATTTCTTGTTTTTGATGCTCTCTCCCATTCTCCAGAGTCAGCCTGTAGATTTGACAGTAAAATGTAGTAGCCAGAATTTTGTGGATCGAGGTTGAATAGATATTCTGAAGCCATTTCTGCTAGCTCAACATGGCCATAGACTCGGCAGGCCCCAAGCAATGCACCCCAGATGCCGGCATCTGGGGCAATTGGCATGCTTTTGATGATTTTGAATGTTTCTTCTAAACAACCAGCCCTACCATGCAAATCGATCATGCATGCATAATGCTCCATTCTGGGTATTATGTGATAGTCTTGAATCATGCAGTTGAAATAGCTCTTCCCTAGTTCAACTCGACCAGCATGACCGCAAGCAGATAAGATAGCAAGGAAAGAGACATGGTCAGGCCGGAACCCATCTTCTTCCATCCCACGAAACAAGTTTAGAGATTCATCTAATAGACCATGGTTTCCATAGGCAGATATGATACTATTCCATGAGACTTCATTTCTCTTGTTCATCAAATCAAACACATTGCGTGCTGTCTGCAAGTACCCACATTTAGCATACATGTCTATTAATGCACTTTCAGCAAAAAGATCATTGTGAAATGCACCTTTGATCATGAAGGAATGGATCTCTTTTCCATGGTGGAGGGCCGGTATGTTTGCACATGCAGAGAGAGCACCTGATATGCTCACACAGTCATATTTCCATCCCTCTGCACCCATCTTGCGGAAAAGACCAATCGCTTGTTCTGGTTCTCCATTCTTGCAACAGCCAGTTATTAATGAATTCCAACAAACCATGTCTTTCTCCGACAACAATGCGAAAATTTGATGAGCTAGGTCTAACCTTCCACATTTTGCATACATGTCTGTCAAGGCACTACCCACAAAGCATTTACCTTCATACCCAAGTTTAAAGGCAGTACCATGCAACTCCTTGCCAAGTTTAATGGCAGCCAGTTCAGTGCAAGCAGGCAACAAACTTGCCAGTGTTAGTGCATTTGGCTTCATTCGCTTAAACAGCATCCATCTGAACACCTCTAGGGCTTCAAGATTCATCCTATTAACAGCAAATCCTGAAATCATAGATGTACAAATTGCAACATCCACCAGCACGCTATCCTGAAAAATGTTGCGCGCCAAATCAACATTTCTACACTTGAAATACATATCAATAAGTGCATTTTTCAAATACGCATCCAAAGAAACGCTGTGTCTCACAATGTATCCATGAATAGACCTACCTAGACACAGATCTTCAGATTCAGCAACTGAGGGTAGAAAACTTGCAAAGGTGACGCCATCTGGTTTAACATCAATAGCTATCATTTCATGAAATAGATTCCAAGCCTCATCCACAGCCTCATTTAGGACATATCCACCGATCATTATATTCCATGTCACCAAGTCCCTTTTTTCTGCTACATCAAACAATTTCTTGGCATCAAACAAGCAACAGCATTTCATATACATCGTTATTAATGTGTTGGCTACAGAAGAATCCATTTCCAGTCCACACTTCACAACAAGATCATGAAGTTGTGTCCCAAACTCAGCCAATCCTTCAGAAGCACAAAGTGAAAGAACACAAGCATACGTCACAGAATTAGGCTTAGTATCACTCCTTCTCATCTGCATGAACAATCCAACTACACTATCCAGAGATTCCTCAGAACTCACATACCCATTGAGCATCACATTCCACAAAACACTATCCCTAGAATGCATTTCATTGAACAAACATCGAGCATCGCCCACACAATGATTTTCAGAATAAAGCTTAATCAAAGCACTCCCAACATAAATATCTAACTCATAACCTAAACTACAAATCCATCGATGAACTGATTTTGCCAACGTGACCGCATGCAAACCAGCACAAGCCTTAATCACATAAGGAAAAGTGTACTTATCAGGCCAGGTACCAAAACCCAACATCTTGAAGTACATCATAAGTGCGGAGTAAAAATGACCCTGTACAGTTAGCCCTCTGATCATCCAATTCCAAGGAGAGGCATAGCATAGATTGAGCTGCCAAAACAATGTCTTGGCATCGAGAAATCTGTTACAAAGAACATACATCCCCAGAATTCGGGACCCTAAAACACCCATGTTTTTTATTCCATGTACAATTATTTGGGCGTGAATTTGATGGCCTTTTTGAAGAACAGGAGAGGAACTGTCCACAAGAGAAGTGCAATCTAGTAAGACCGGTGCAAGTTTGGATGCTAAAACCTCTTGAACTCTGAATTGGGGAAAAGGGATTGAGACCAAGGTAGAACCCGAAAAGGTAAGGCAAGATAGAGTTCTGGAGGTTGTCTGAAGAAGAAGATTTGGAAACATTTAGCATTGGATGATAGAAACTCTGGGCACTGGTGGTTGTGTCAGACAGCAGCCTAGCTCCAGATAAGCAATTTAGCACTATCTTACTGAAAAGTTGATCAGTTTTCTGATGCCCAGATATTTCAAAGCAGCAAGATAATATTCTCTTCTCAAACCCTATGCAGCATAATATGCACCTAGATGCAATTTTTAGACAACAAGTGTTAAATTAGTCCAGCACCCTTTTATTTTCAATTTATGAAACATTGAAAAGAACCCATCACACTGAATAAGCTTTTTATGGGGAATCTATCAACCAACATGCAATTTCATTATAGATATGTGATATCAATAGCTCTCTGTAGTGGGGTAGCGAAGCGGTTGGCTTTAGTGCCACTGTGCCAGCAGCAGGCTCTATAGCGGTTATAGTCGAGCACTAAGCACTGCAATAATTTATATGGCATTGTATGATCTAGTATTGAGGGAACTTTGGGGTAATTTTGGGCTTTAGAAGTTTTTAAGTGATAAAGTAGGGTTTTAGAGTAAAAAGTAACCCTACTATCTTAACCCGGTTATTCCGCCCTAATCCTACCCTTTTATAAGCTACATTGTGAGACAAGTCCAAGTAAAAAGTAGAACTTGCATTTTAATTCCTTTCAGCTTCTTTTCTTTGAAACCAGTGGTCATTGGTCAAATAGGTTTTAATAACAGCCCTATAAGCTATAAGCCATTTGTGGAATAAAGATTAAAAAATCATTTAATCTTTTGATTGCATATACTAAAAGTAGTTTCTCCATTTGAGGGACCATAGCTCAGTTATTAGTAGAACCCATATCAACACACAATAGGAGCAAAGAAAAGAAAAATGTAATCATGAGATTCACAAAGAAACTCATTAAAACAATTATCACAAAGACAAACAAGGCTGAGAAATGCCAGATTTTTCAAAAAGAAAAATAAAACTCATACCCTAGGAGCCCAAAATAAAAGTACTACAACGGCAAAGGCAAACTGAAAAAACAAATTTTAAGCAATTGAACCACAAAAGGAAAAAAATGCTTGAACCAAATTTTCAATGTATCACCGAGGTAAAAACAAAGCTTGAACAAAGTCAAAAAACACAAACTGAATTGCAATGCTATCTTGAACCAATCAAACAGGATTGGTCTCAGTATTTTTAAACAACCCGCTCCAAGGGATTATGCAAGAAGTCCTAAAAGGGATTTATCTCCAACCAGACGAAACCCTATGTTAGGGTTTGTCCTTATACAGAGGCGGATCTAGCATTTCAACTGAGGGGCGGGGGCAGGGGGGAAATTATTTATAGTATTGGAATTCCATTTGTGCATTGTAGTAGAACTTCTAGTATAGTTTATAAATACATGAGTTTTAATTATCGATAATAATTTTAATATTAGCAGAAGTGAGTCAGTTTTATCATCAGACAAACACTCAAGCATATTAAACGGGAAGAAGTTTTTAGAATAAGGTAGCATTTAAGGAAAATATCAGATTGTTCTACGCATAAATAATCAATTCATAACTGGATGCAGTGTAGTCAAATACAAACTCCAAGTAAATTTTACTATTTTAGTTCAACTAATTACAGAATTAGTAAACATAAAATATAGTTCTGTATCAGATGCACTTGAGAAACTTTGCTTTAGAAGGAAAAAACTCAAATCTAAGTAGTACTATCTTACTACCTCAAGAGAATATAGATGTTCAAAAGTCATTGCAAATCTCTGACGCTATACTCCAAAAAGCAGAAAACCAAAGGTATATTTAGTACAAATATTCCAAATAAGAATCACAGTTCCTGTTGCAAAATGCGATTAAGTTGGGACTAATGATTTCTGAAATTCTTTTTGTACTCACAAACCAAAATCATTTAATTCATTGTGATATATGAGGGTGCAGTATTCAAGCACCAATGAGTCAATGACGCAATATTGTCATTAATTCAGTATGCAGTATAATATATACGAAGTATTAGAGAAGTAGAGAACAACTCATGCTTCAACTTCAATTGTTCTCAACCAAAATATAGTCAAGCCCTTTCTCCTTATGTGTCAAAATTTCATATTAAATTTTCTTAGTTTTCAAAAAAAAATGAACTTTAGCACTTCAGCCAAATCGGCATAATTCTACAAAAAGTAAATCAGCACTTTAGCCATTCTGCAAACAGTTCTGAGAATAATTACATAAAGACGGACAATCTACAACTCCAGCAAGTGGAAAAGTTCAGAAGCCTGCAAGAAAAAACAGAAGTGTTTTGAGAAAGTCTGTGACGGTTTACCTGGCTGAGTAGTGCGGCAGCACTGCGGCGGACGGACGCAGGGGCATCCGGGCAGGGCGTGGTCGGCGGAAGCAATTGCCGGTGGGTGGGTCGCAGCCGGGCCGCTCGTTTGCTCGGCTCTCGACTCTCGACTCTCGACTCTCGTCTGGATGAGTGTCTATGCGGAAGATCCCGAAGCAGCCTGCGTTGCTAAACTAGGGGGTGTATTACTGTATAGTGTAAAATTAAATAAAATTTTGGGAAAAGTGTCAAATAGGTCCTCAAACTTTCATAAAAAAGTCAATTAAGTCCTTCTATAGGAGACTTTGTCCGGTTTTCGCGATTTGGGACGGTTCCAGATGGAATTTTTTGATGAAATATTTTGAACATTTTATTCATGAAGTCTAGTTTACTCATACCAAATTTCAGCTAAAAATTTAATCGCGAGCGCATTCAAATTAATTCGAGAACGCAAAAATGCGCAGTTATCTTCAAGAATTAATTTGAATGTGTTCCCGATTGAATTTTTAGCTGAAATTTGGTATGAGTAAACTAGACTTGGTGAATAATATGCTCAAAAAATTTCATCAAAAAATTCCACCAGGAACTGCCCCAAATCGCGACGGCTTAGCTCTTATTTGACACTAGGACCTATTTGGCCTCAAATAAGAGCTCTTATTTGACACTAGGACCTATTTGACAGTTTTCCCTAAAATTTTGGCCTCAAGTGTTCAATTAGCTCTTATATAGGAGTTTCTGCCCGGTCATCGCCAATTGGGGTGGTTCGGTGGAATTTTATGATCAAAGTTTTTTAGCATCTTCTTCATTAAGTCTAGTTTCCTCATACCAAATTTTAGCTAAAAAATCAATCGGGAAGGCAGTCAAATGATTTTTTGAAGATAACTGTGAAGTTAAACAGCACAGTACATTTCGGAAAATCATTTGACTGCCTTTCCGGTTGATATTTTAGCTGAAATTTGGTATGAGCAAACTAGACTTAATGAAGAAGATGCTCAAAATATTTCATCAAAAAATTCCACGGGGAACCGCCCCAATTAGCGACGGCCGGACAGAACCTCCTATATAAGGGGTTAATTGAACACTTTAAGTAAGTTTAAGGGTCTATTTGACCCTTTAGCCTAAAATTTTAAATGATTTTGCCTGAATTAAAATCTGTTTTTTGTGTAATCAAAATACCCAAAATAAAACATGTGAATAGTATAAAAAATTTTATGTTACAACTAAAAAGATCTTTCTCAATCTTAATAAAAGTTGTATAATAGGACTTCAACTCAAGAAAAGGCAAAGGCAGCTTCTATCCCTAGGTGGCCGTCTCCTCTAGGGTTAGGGGTTGTTTTTCTCCGCTTTCGTCTTCGACGAAGTGCGGCTTTCGTCCGCCTGTCATGAGGCTCTCTTCTTCGCCACACCGCAGCGCCTATATGGCGGTCAAATGTTGTGTACCCCTAGCAACAGGTGGAGAGTTTCGAGGATGTCGTTCATGGTTGAGATTAGAAGGTCATAGATGAAACGTGGGGCTAGGGCCCGGAACAGCTCTGGACCGAAGGCAAGGAGCGGAATATGCTATAATAATGTTGGACTGACCCCCCTCCTGAACCGCCGCCATGGAGTGTTTAGGGTGTGGAAGCAGTATTTTAATTTTACTGTTTGCTTGTTTTTTATTTTTCATGATCAAACTGTTTATTTTTCTGTTCGTTACTTCTATTGTTGTAAGACTCTTGCATTAGGATTGGGTGATGGGAGATCTGCTTTAACCATCATTGGCTCAATTATGCCCATTATAGGATCAACGAGTTATATTGCTTTTTTGGAGGTGATTGACTCTAAGTCTGGTTCGAGGGCTGATAGTTGTCTGTGGTCCTTTTTCGTTTTACCCTCTATCTGAATGTTGTGATATGAACTTTTTTTTTAAACCCGGTGAGCAAACCACCAAAATCAGTGGGGCAAATGCCGGGGAACATTTGCCGGATATTATAAAGAATACTCAAAATAGATCATACATGAGAGGGGGACTAGACCAAAACCTCTCAGCAAATAAAAAAACTTTTCAAAAAAGAGAAAACTATAAAGAAACAAATGATAGTATTTGTTCGTAGTCAAATTACATATTTTTACTCCGGGGGTGTCTGTGGGAGGGGGCCTGGAGTAAATTCGGCTGAAACTCGGCCCATTGAGTTTCGAACCCGAGACCTCCCATAAGGGAGAGTGAGTCGGCGACCAGCAGAGCTGAACCGCTTCCTTCGTAGTCAAATTATATATGACATTGCTTCTATTCTAAGTAGGGGTACAAAGTGCAAACAAGCCGAACCCATTCGAACGTGAACGTGAGTAGATTAGAGATTGAGCTTGAGTTTAGCTCGAGCTCGAGCTTGAACGAGTTAAATAATTTTAGTTCTAACTCGAACATGGTTTGAGTTTTGTGAATTAATATTTATAAGTTTGAACTCAAATAATATGCTCGAACTTGAGCTCGAATTTGAGCTAAAAATAAAATTCTATTTTCAAATGTCACGCCTCAGACCGCATCTAAGCGCGTGTACAACCGCTGTATGACCAAATGACGTCACTCGCAAGTCAACGTGACTTAATCATACAAGGCTTCCATTAACATAGTCCATACCATACTCAATAATTAAACATACATAACAATATCACATATTTGGATTGAACGAATAGTGAAAATATTCAATATTCAATCATAGGCCACACATGGCCAAAACGTGGGCTCGCAGGCCCAAAACAAATGTACTTGTTACAAAGTATCCATGAGCATAGTTTGTAGTTTAAAACAGTAAAGGAAACACGAACCACGTCTTCCTTTGGATCAATTCACTGAGCAAGGTGTGGATAGCTATTCTTAGCTTCAACCTGAAATGGGGGGCCCCGAAGAAGTCAGTACAAGTACCGAGCGAGTAGCAGACTAAATGTAGAATAACTAATGTTTCAAGTATAAGACCCAAACATAGGGTGATACGTATACATGTAGTCTCCCCCCCAAGTTATGAAATTCATATCAATATATATATATATATATATATATATATATATAGAATAGAGATCAAATACAAACCCTTCTTAATTTACAAAGTACAAACTCATCTTGACTGTCCGATGAGTTGATCCAAAGGACATAAAGGCAAGGTGGCATTTTTGTAATAAAACCCAACTTTTTTATGGTGCAACTCGTTGAACGTTAATGTGCAACTGCTATTTTATGGTTGAATAATATGCACTACTTTGAACCTCAATATGCAATACAAAAAACGTTAAGGTGCATTGTACAAATGTTTGCACAATAAGCACAGTTTGTACTTGATCTTTCCCCTATATATATATATATATATATATATATATATATATATATATATATATATATATATATATATATATATATATATATATATATCGTTTGGGTTGGGGAGCTATGATATTTCGTTTATTTATTTATTTTTCATTTTATTTTCTTCATGTACTTTCACGTTTCCTTTTAATAAAATTCCATTTATTATATATATATATATATATATATATATATATATATATATATATATATATTGATGGAGTATATGGCCCAGGAACCCCCGGCCCACAGACTCCTACTAATCTATCGCAGGCCCAACAAGCCCAAGGAGCATCCGAGGCCCAAAATACAGTGGCCCAAGTTCAAGGAAGTCCAAGACACGCACTGGGGTGCCTTCGGCCACTTTGACCGAAGGCCCCAAAACTCACAGAATAGCCTTTTTTGGCATACGAAGCTACTGGGAGAAAACGGCAGAAAACAGGAGCCTTCGGCACTGTTGAGCCCTCGGCATCAGAGAAGCCTTCGGCTACACAGAGCCCTCGGCTGCGTGAAGCCCTCGGCTGCATGAAAAGCCTTCGGCTAAACAGACTCAATCATCGAAGATTCCCTTTGGAGACAGCCAACCACCGCATTTAATGCGACATCACATCCACCCACCGCATTCAATGCGGTGAACATGCCACTGCCAGTGCCACCCCGATTGATGTGACCCCTCGGCCGTTGGATTACTGACACGTGTACACTCGTCACATTTATTGCTGCTATAAATCGCAGCCCATTTCTCCTTGTAAACGATCCAGATCCACATCTCAACACTCTGAGTTCATTTAATAAAATCGACTCTCTCTCCTCCTATTTTGCTCTGACTTCTCTCTAGGTTATTCCCGCAATAACCCTTCGGATAAGATACCCCCGGGTAGACTATCCATCATACACACACACACACACACTTGGAAATACTCAACCCGTGGGTCATCGTTTATTTGGGAAAACAGTAGTAGTCAATATCCTTGACTTAAAACCCAACCCACCCATATACCTATGAGTGTATAGAACTCCTTCTGGTTCAAATCAATTATCAATAGGACACCGCCCGGTCCTAGATCATTAAAATGTAATCTATGAGTTTTGAGGATACACGCCTGTTCCTTGGGTACTCCATCCTATAACCGAGTTTTGAGGATACACGCCCGATCCTTGGGTACTCCACCCTATAACCGAGTTTTGAGGATACACGCCCGATCCTTGGGTACTCCACCCTATAACCAAGTTTTGAGGATACACGCTCGATCCCTGGGTACTCCACCCCACCTATGACTTACCACATATCACACTACATAGGGTCTATATCATATTTTGCTAAAGACTAAACCAAGTCTTAGAATTTAATCATAGATATCAAACCTTGACATTTAAATATCATATTTCATGCAATTCCATGCTTAATATACATATATAGGATAGTCGGGGTTAATCCCCCCTTCGAACCGGGCCCCGAACCACGTTTTCAGCGAAAATGGAATTCGGTGGCAGCAGCTTACCCGGCCTCGGGTATGCCCTATACCCGGCGCCGGGTATTGTCAGAATTTTGGGTCAACGGCCCGTTGACCTCCGAGTTGACCCCCCAAAACGTAATCTGTTTGATCCCAAATTTTTATACAACATATATCATGTCTAATACAATCAATGAATGCCATTTTGGACATCCAAAACATCACATATGTGTTTATCATGTCTAAACACAGACACATATTTACTAAACACAGCCTGCAATTTATCTTAGTTCCTAATATATCCTTCTGATAATACCGGCGTGCACTTAGCTTCTGACGATACTGGCGAGCATGGAACGACTAGGAACACCAGTTTCAGTAGACGACAACACAGCTTCTGCCTAGCGACCTGCCGACCTCCGATGGTGACGAAGACGGTCCCAAGAATTAAACTGTCAAGAATCTGATTGGGATTTTCTCAGGAACACATCAATAGATGAACATGTATGCTTAATCTTATCTTCTTTGATCTATTTTATTCCTCTGTTTTCTTCTGTCATATTGCAAGGGCGAACTGTTAGCCTTGCAAAGGGTACTATGACCACCGAATCTTATGGAAAACTTATCTCAATTACAAATTCTGTGCACATTAGATTGAAAACTCACGTAATTACTTTTCAAACTTTCAACGTAAACAGGCAACCCATAGATGCTATTGAAAAGTATGATTTGATCAAACTTGGACCGGGTGCTACTGCAAAAATCTACCATACAAGAATATTTACTGGGGTACATATAGGCCGCCGATATCGTTATGCTACCGCCGGTTCAATTACTAGTTTCGACAAAGATTAAGACTGCCGTCGTCGTTTGTAGCTGGACACGTTGAGATGTTGTTGTCATTGCCTAAGAACTTAGTTGCTAGCTATTTGTTCCATGTCCGCCGCCGGTATCGTCATAAGTTAATGTTCTGCCAGCATTGTTAGAAGGGTATATTACGAATTAAGATATATGTGGGCTGTGTTTAGTAAATAAGTGTGTATTTAGAATTTCCCCAAAAAAAAAATTACTAGTCAAACTATGACACGAAAGAGATCAACGAATCAGGTGTCATAAGTCCCTCGCACAGAATTCCCGACCCCTACGCGCTCAATTTTGCATCAGAGTCAACGCGATGAGCCTGTTCGCGTACACCGTCGGCGGCGGAGGTTTCATACTGATCGGAGCTTGGGAATCCTTCGTATCATCCACAGAAACCTTCAGAGAGTCTCCGTCGCCGCTAGCGCATCCTCAATCACCACACACCGGGACGGAATCCTCCTCAAGGTTCTCCTCCTCCGTGACATTCCTGGCAGTTTCCGCCCTCTCATTTCTCTTCATCGTCAACTCCATAGTCTCCATCTCTGACGCCATCAGCTCCAAAGACTCTGTTGGTTTGGCTTACCAGTTGGGGGAAATAGCCATTTCGCTCCTTTTCCTTCTCTACTCCGTCCTCGGCTTCGTTAGTTGTACAAGAAGGCGTCTTCAATTTCCTTCCCAGTTCCTCAATCTGATTTCCCTCTTCGCATTCATGGAAGAATTTCTGTTATTTTACCTTCAGAGGAAAGACCCTAGCGGGGTCGAAAATAGGTACTATGATCTCTTTCTAGTGCCCATTTCTATTTGTGCATTCTCTACTATTCTGGAATTGAAAAACCCCAAATCCAATTACACTAGACTGGGACGCGGAATCGGACTGGTCTTGCAAGGTATCTGGTTCCTACAAATGGGGTTTACATTTTTCACCAACATGATAGCTCATGGCTGCTCATTGCACGGAAAAAGTAGAGGGAATTACACCATAAAGTGCAATGGACATCCCGAATACCATCGAGGTCGAGCCATTGCCACTCTTCAGTTCAATTGCCATCTTGCTCTTCTTGTGGTTTTGATGTCTGGAGCATACTCTATTTTATGTAAGAAGAGTGGAATTAACAAGGATTCAGCTTTGAGGTATAGACCACTTAGTGCAGAGGTGGTGCAGCAGTTGGAAATGGCTACCAGCAGCTCACATTTTACATTGGATTCTGATGATGATGAAGATGAAGAGAATAGTGGGTTTAAAAAAGAAGAGGAGAGGAAGAATATAGAAATGCAGAAGGCCAACCAGGGCACTAATGGTTATTCTACTAGTGCATGATTTTGTTATTTTTTTGTTTATAGCAATGAACATAGGCATGTCTTCTAGATTGTGATTAGATTAGAAAGATCCAGCTTTTGCATGATACGATTGAGAAGAAAATACACTTACATATGCCTTGATAATAATTCGATTTGAATGAAATTTTCCCTGGCATGGCATGTTCTTTTGAATTGGTTGAACAGGAGGCGCTGTATAATACAAAAAGATGTCTGTTTTGCACTTGCGTTGCGATTTTAGATTTCCTATACTTATCTGTGCAAACCTAACTTTTTGTTTGGCTTGAGGGAATGCAGAAGGGGTAGAACACTTGTCTCCTATTTTGTTTGTCCAGGGAGTATACAAGAAGGCTAGGGAGGATGGATGGATGTTCTCATTCATTCCTTCTATTCTACTCACAAGACTCACATAGTCACTACTCCTCCGAATTTGAGATGTGGGGAGGGGGTAGAGGATGCCACCCTCAAATCCAAACACACTGTGATGTGTGATTCCTTAACTATATTCCTTTCCGGCTCTCTCCTCTTGGGTTGTCAACTTGCAATTTCAAAGTCACTTTCTAGGCGTGGTGGATTAATGCAAATCTAGGCTTGCGAGTTGCGATCGATGGAGTAAACCATTTTAGCATTCACCCAATGAGCCTAATGTTAGGTCTTATTTTTTAAAAATATACAATGTGATGTCTCTTCATGGTGCTATCTTGTTGAGAGACTGAGTCGTTACTTGTGAGGCTAGAAAACTCTGTCAGAATACACAAGTTTGTGTGTCACCCTTTAACTACAGTTGGGACGGGTAGGGGTGGACATGCTCATGGTTCCGGAATCCGGACTGGGATTGAAAACCGACCCAGAACCAATAAGACAGGGCAGTTGTAGTTACTGCATATGGGGAACCAGGAAGTCGCAGGTCTGGGATGGTGTCCACCTCTGGGGAAGAGCAACTATCTACAAAATAATAAGCATGAATGAAGGTACGCCTATTTTAGGTATTAAAAAAATGTTGGTGTGACTCTGCAGCTAAGTTCGCATGTACTAAATGATTCATTCCTTGTACCTCATTGTAGCGTAATACACTTGCACTACCAAACGCCGTCTGCCCTGTTAGTATAACCTCACACATCCGCCTCCATTGCATCGCCCCCTTCGTCTTCTTTTTTATGTAAGTCCCTATTTCCGTTTTTCATGGATTATTACATGTAAGAAGGAAATTAATTTGATATGTGAACACCTGTAACAGCCCGTTAGTTCTACTCTGTAGCGTAAGTTATGGAAATTAGAAAGGCACTGTCTCCTTCAATCATTTGCCCCCTTTCCCTTATAATGCATATTGTTCTACAGTACTGGCAGAGGTTCTTTCCTCCTGTTAGTCACTCTTGTTCTCTTTCAGATTAAGCTTATGCCCATTCTCTCATCTCTTATGCTTTTACACGTACCTTTATTTGCTCAAATGAACTTAGGAGCATTCATAAGGTGCTGGAGTTATGGTAGCAAAGAGTTTATCTTAAAGAGAAAAAAACTAAACCCAGCTAACTGTTTGTTTAAATGCCTAGCACCGTAGAGTGCTCACACCGTTATTAGTAAATCACGGTGAACTATATTCACATAAGTCTACCTGGTTCACAGTTTGTAGGAGAGTTTTTTTTTTGTCATGAACTAGGACTCTGGGAGTGCAAATGTCTTAAAGTGTTTTATCATATTAGGTGTTTGTATCTCTAAAGTCTATATCATGGAGAGTATCTCTAAACCTCCTTAAGAAGAAAAACACTTTGATCAAAGAAAATTGTAAACATTATTCTATGGCTAATTTGGTTGTAGGTGTAACTTGTAAGCCTGTATTTCCAATGGAGAGATGAGAACATGACCTTCACGGGCACCATCTGCAAAATGCCCCTTATAACCAAGCATCTCTGTGTCTTCATGCAAAAGATTCAAAGATGTGGGCTTTGCATTCGCAACGGAAAGTCCCTTGAACATGTCAAATAGGTTAACTGGCACGTCATCCACACTTGAGCAATCAGAACTGCCACCCTTCCGACAATACAAGGAGTCCCAATGCTGCTGCTGGAAGACGAGAACAAACTTAGGCTCTTCCTCAAGTGGGGGCTGTTGGGAATATTTTAGAAGGCGAGGAACCTTGAAGCTTAGGATGTGCAAGTCACATGGAAGGTTGGATGCCAGTGGAGAGAAGGATCTTGGGGGAGGCTGTACTGAGATTTCATGTGCTTTCTTGGCTACAAATGTGTTGAGGGGTAGTTTAAGTGGGAATTTATGAGATGAGATAAAGGGAAAGGGCTTAGAGGATGATGATTAGTTATTGCAAGAGCTATTGAAGCGTTAGAAGAAGACTCTACAAGGATGTGGAACACAACATTCATTGGCCGATTGTCCATCACCCCCTGTCCATCAAGACCATGCCCATCATCCCTCACCAATGTCGGTCCAGCATTATCTCAAAACATCCATCTCTAAGAGTCTAAGGCTTGCCACACCTAGGGACTGCCGGATGTGGACGGAGAAGCGTCGACCATCCAGTCCCTGCATAAAAGCAAGAGATGGCATGGGATAATAGTTCCCTTGAACAAGGATCTTATCATACGTCTCTCTATGGCTCATTTGGAACTCATTCAAATCATAACTTGTCCAAAAGATCATTATTTAAGTCTAGCTTTCCGAAGGCGCGCCAGTTATGCAACCAACACAAGTACCAAATATGATTACAGTTTTACATGTAAAACCAGCTAATCAACTGTTACCAAACAAATAAACCCATTCTTTCAAGAAGCTAGAAGCCTAGAACTCATTCATTATGGTAAGTTTTTCAAAACAAAACAAAAACAATGAGATCTGTTTTATGTTAAAACCAACATCCTCGTACATGTGACATCCTCCGTGAGAATGTCACAATGACGCCATCAAACCACCAACTACTTGATGAAAAAACAATGTTTTATTTTCATTTTTCTTACTTCTTTTCTAGTCTCTTCTTGTTGCATCCTTCTCCTCTGGCAGTCTAATAATTTTTTCGCTGCTTTTTCTTTTTATGTTCATTAACCGATGTAGTTTGACAATGTATATTGATATTTATGCGCATAAATAGACATACGTGAAAAATAAGAATGAAGAATCAATCACCGGTTCAGTTTCAATATAAACACCAATTTGGTCCCAATCCAATTATAATTAGGGTTCACCCCTATCCAGAGCTAGTCGCCAACTCGCCATCATCTGTATTCAAGCCATCTTATCAAGCAAATAAATAGCTTTTAATTTAATAACTATGACAAACTGACGAATTGTTTTTATGAATGACAAATGTCCATGTAGCGAATAACAGCACTTTTGCTTTACTATTTTCAACTTTGTGATCACTCACAAATTTACAGAGAAAATGTATAGATTAACCGAATCCTTCAGCTTGGGGGCCACTAGAAGAAGCAGCTATAGTAGGAGCTCAATGTGAAGGTTATTGGCCATCCATATCAGATAAACGAGCGACTAAATAAGCTGCAATTCATATCTTGGTCACCGTGAGGACTTGGCTCCCTGATCAATTTTTGTCCAGTCTGAAGTAAACTCAAGACGGCAAATCCTGTGGGTCAGCTCGGACTATCTATCAAAACCGAAACCATGGGCTTGTTGACAAGAGCTTTGTGCATTTATAGACAAAGGTGTTGCATACTTGCAAAGCAAGGGACAAGATCCATATGTTAAGAAAGGTGTATATATGAAGGAATGTTTGTATGTACTGCTGTCATGATATTTTTACAGCCTTAGAGAAGATGTTAGTAGACGGTGGAACCGATCTACTCTAGCTTGGTCATGGTATGATGGTCTCCGAACTAATGTCTTTCCTTTATTCCTCATACGGAAAAAGAAGTCTTCTGTATCAAATACATAAGATATCTGCAAAAAGTAGATGTGCTGGTGTTAGGAAGCAAACTTTCGCCGCAGTCCAATCCTCTTGGCTATGCTTAGATCCAAGAAAATACTAGGGAACCGAAAATGCTAAGCAAAAACATTTCTTTTGTTTGGCTTTAGTTTGGAAATGAGAAAAGAAATGATTATTGTTTAATTTTAAATATATTTAGATTATGTCTTTATATGATCAAATAAATAAATTATTGAAATGACTTTTAACATATATATAAAAAATAGTTAGTTTGAGTTTATGTTTTATTTTCTCCTAAATTTTCTTTTCAGTTATCCTATCTATTTTCCTTGCCATTTGCCCCTCTAATATTTTCCATTTCCAGACTGGCCCTTTATTTAGCAAGTATTTCTCTAAAGGCGCAGAAGCGAAATAGATTTAGCATTGGACAACCATGGGTGGTAACTTTTGTTGCTTAGATTGTCTGCCATAATCAGATAGAAGAGTCAAGGGATTTTGGTTCCTTGTCTTTTCAACAAAAAGTTCATGAATGCAATGTGAATCCTATTGGATGTTGATTACCTTGGATGAATGTGATGTCATCTTGCACTCCAAACCATTTAAACTATAAATATTTTCCTTAGCCATGGAATGAGCAGAAGATTCATCAAGGTTGGCGTACTTTCTTTTGTTTCTGTCCATTGTCCAACAATAAAAACATCAGATATTCAAAATACTCATTCAGCAATCAATTAGTAAAAAGTTCATGCTTTGTTGATCTTAACAGTGCTATACAAAAAAGAGACCAGGATAATCTGCATTAACATACATAAGAGTTCTGCATCATTACCGCAACAATCGAACAAGCAAACAAAAAACACGTTTTGAAGTAAAAAATGAATTGATCATATATTTGCACCAAAGTGAACAAAATAGCAATTTAAGAACAAGCTAAAACTTTTATGCATCACGGTGGACACGCATGAGACAAAGACACCATGTGCGTATCAAGGGTAACTCAACAGAGATTTAAGAGACGCAATGCATCACATGTCCCCCATGGTGTTATCATTCCCATCTTCGATTTGTATGTCCCACAATATATGTTGGAAGACAAAGTACCTCTTAAGCATAATTGTAGACGGCTCCCTTGTCCCAAGTTCCAGTGAAAGATAATCATTGTGGAGATAACACGCAAAATTAGGATCTATAGTTACAGCCACAACATCAGACTTATCATTTACATCATCCACCAATTGGATGGACAAGCTTGTTGGGCAGGATCTCTACAAGAAGAAAAGTAGTATGGTATCAGTGAAGAGCACCCTTGGGGGCTGGAG